ATATATATATATATATATATATATATATATATATATATATATATATATATATATATATATATATATAAAATTAAATTATTATTTTTTTCAAATATTTGATGTTTTTAAGAGAGGTTCAGAGCAAACGCTTTTTCACAGTATTTCCTATATTTTTTCTTCTGGAGAAACTCTTTTTATTTCGGCTAGAATAAAAATTATTATTATTTTTTTTCTTAAAATGATTTTAAGGTCAACATTATTAGTCCCCTTAAGCATTATTTTAGCGATTGCCTTCAGACCATAGAATAACTTGCCTAATTACCCCAACTTGCCTAATGAACCTAGTTAAGCCTTTAAATGCCACTTTAAGCTGAATAGTGTCTTGAAAAATATCTAGTCAAATATTATGTGCGGTCATCATGACAGAGATAAAATAAATCAGTTATTAGAGATGAGTTATTAAAACTGTTATGTTTAGAAATTTGTTAAAAAAACCTTCTCTCCGTTAAACTGGGGGTAAAATATACAGGAGGCCAAACAATTCAGGAGGGCTAATAATTAAAATCAAAATATTAGTGTTATTCTTCACCTTTTTAGGGACGGGACTGTCCCTCTGGCCTGAGGTGTCATCTGGCTGCCGGGCACGCTGCAGAAAAAAATAAACAACAAAATAAGATGTTTATTATTAGCATTGCCATAAATGTGTGTCACATAAATAGCAGAAAAATCTGACAGCATTTACCTTCACTGTGGGGTCGACAATAGGTTTCGGAGCCGTTTTCTCTGCTTCAGGAAAGAGCTGCTTGGCCTGGGACAGAACATTTCAGACATTTCACTCGCATGTTGATTTATGCAATAACGATGTATGTAAAATACATAAAAAATAAACAATGCTGTACATGTTCCAGGCAGTTTCTGCAAGCGTCTCTGATCAGCTGATCGGGCTGAGTGTCTCCTCCAACATTCTCTTTCACATTACTGGCGGCCTTCTCAAAGAACTGTGCAAAAAACCCAATCAAGGCAAGTGAATCAAACACACACGGTCATATATTAGGTACTGTAGATGTGATCGGTTACTCACCTTCATATATTTCCTGAAAACCGCACGGATGTCTTCATTAAAGCTGGGCTGCAGGACTGTCCGCAGGAGATCCATGGAAATGATTGGATCTGTATAACTGCAACATACACACAAAACACAGTACATTTTACAAAACATTTCTAATAGCTGATTGCTTTTATCATTGATATGATGAGAGTACATAATATTTTATTAGATATTTTTCAGCCTAAAGTGACATTTAAAGGCTTAACTAGCGTAATTAGGTTAAAATCAGGGTAATTAGGCAAGTCATTGTATAACAGTGGTTTGTTCTGTTGACAATCAAAAATAGGCTTGGGCAGTAGTACGGTAATATGGTATACCGCGATATCTGAAAATAGCAACGGTATCAGTTTCAATACCGTTATACGTCATAAAAACAATGCACTTATATAGGAGACAATTATTTAATGCCTAAAAATACGTGGTTGTCATCATGGGACAGCATGGGCGAAGAAAAGGGGGAGGTAGAAAAAGATGGCTAGTCGTGCACCAAGTTACCTGGTCTCAAAAAAAAGAATACAACTTCGACAGTTTGACAGCATTTCGGGTTTCGACCGAACGTGAAGGGAGAGGCGGTAAATACGGATGAAACAATTTGCAAAATGTGCAACAAAAAGGTTCAAAAGGGATGGCAGGCCCGGATTGGCTTATCAGGAGGAGCGGGAGAATTCCTGGTAGGCCGATCTGTTTTTTGCCCGCGTGGGCCGGTGTCTCTAGCCGCTTGCACTCTCAGAAGTAGAACTTTTTTTTCATTTATTTATCTGACCATATAGTCGCACGCTTTTTATTCAATATTTTACCGCAGCTCTTTTCTTGTTTTTTATTTTCTCGCAGCCCGGTGAGCAAAATGCAGCCTGCAGGTTAATGATGACATAACTATCATTCTAACCCAAACAGCGGCACCTTATTGAAAACAAGAATTCAAATAATTAATATTAATGAATATTACACCTGCTCAATAAAAATCAGATGATTCACTACATTAATAAATCTGACATAACTTGATCCGAAATCTAAAAAGGGGAGAAAATGATTAAGCCATCAAGAGAAAGAGTAAAAGAGTCTTGCAGATAACCGTGCAATATGTTTTATTCCAAACACTCCAGGTATAACCGCGCCAGTGAGGTCCAGTGGTCAGCACATTGCGAAATGACACCGCGGACCCGAGTTCGAACCTGACCAGAGTAATTTTATTTCATTTTTAGTAAGACATATAACACTGTTTGGGTTACTGATGTAGGTGTAGATCTTTTATTTTTATTTTCTTTTGTGTGTGACCATCGTTACAAAAAGACAGGATATCTATGAAGAATTTAGCACAGAATATATATTCAGACATTGCACTGAGATGGGCTGGTCTAAAGGCTCCTACACACCGGGATGATTTTCGTTTGCGTTTATCGTCAGCGTTTTACGAGACGTTTTTCAGTATTCAAACCAAAGCGCTTTTCACTGGCGTCAAGCAGAAGACTATGCTAAATCACTCTTTTGACGTTAGATGGCGCTGCACAACATTGAGCTTCTGACACCCGCTTATAACACAGAAGAAGAGGAGGAGAGGAAGTTCACACGTTTGTTTATAAAGTTACTGGTGACTCGAACCAGCATGGATGGTTCAAGCAGCAGCTCCAGCTCTAGCGATGAAGAAATGATTGTCCACCAGTGCAATAAGCAGCTCCACGTTCATATCGCCTCTCGGCATCTTCTTCAATGTGCGCTCGCATTGACAGTTTTGCGCTTGAGCGCCTCCAAGTGCTGTTTACGGTAACTTCAGCAGCTCCGTGCACGTGAGCAAAAGTGCCGATCTGCCTCAAAAAAAAAAATGAGCATGAGGCGTTTTTTTAAAAATGACGATTTTGCGCCTGGCGTTTTGGCTGTTGGTATGCACAATCACATTGAAGCCCTTTATTAAGTTACGAGGCGTTAAACGTCGATGGAAAACGCGAGCAAAAAACGTCTCGGTTTGCACGGGCCTTAAGGCTTGAAACTGCAGGGCTAAAAAGGAGTCCCACTCCGGCCCTGAGGGACAGTGTTCGTTAGAAAACCTCTACTGATGCAATGACATAATACTTATGACCTCTTTCCACTCAGTAGAATAAAGGTAAAATGTATTGAATTTGTGCGCACGTTTCTGCGCCAAGACTGTTCTGGATGTTAATGTTAATTTAATTCTGTTTGACTGTTGTATTTGCACTTTTTTATTAACTGCTATTTGTTGCTAATAAAAGTAGTTATTGTTGTGAATGTTATTTTGTTATGCCTTCAGTTTAGTGTTTGAGTTTCTGAACGGTTTAGGCTCAAGCCCACAGTTTGGTGATGCTGTCTGAGCCTTATGTCATATTTTTTAATTCTTCACGGTAATACCGTATACCGAGGTAAAAGGTAAAGACAAGGTTTGACGGTATTAAAATTTGGATTTCGCCCAAGACTAATCGACAAATATTGTTTAGAGGTGCAGTAGCTGATCTGGCAAAATGCTATTCATTAGCAGACATCCCAAGTCTCCCGGAAGTTGCGGGAGTATCCCTCAAATGCATAGACACTCCCGGATGCCCGGAAATCTCCCGGAAATCGCGCGCTTCCTGCCCAGTCCTTAAATACGTTGCACAGCCCATTCTCAACTGCATCCTTCGTAGCTCTTCAGGTACGTCTCGCGCAACTCACCCCCACCGCTCGAGGTAACGTTATGTCGCGTCGCGCAACTCCCACCACTCTTTATGCTCACACGCCCCCCTACCCAGATACGTCGCTCACTCAACGCAACCCCCCCCCTTCTTCAAACACCCACTTTCCCGCTACCTCCCGCAAATCAACTCTGTATCCCCCGGAAACAAAATGACTTTTCCCAACTTGGGATGTCTGCATTAGCATAATATCTTTGAAAACTCAGTCCCTCCCATGTCCCTCCCCTCTCAAATCACAAACGCACACCTTAAAGATGACAGAGACCCACTGGATAATGTAATTCACCAGTTAGAAAACTTTATAGCGGCTTATATACTACAATTCCGAAGAAAAAAAATCTGTATTATATCTAACACGCTTTCAGTTGTGTAGCGAGCAAAACTTGTCATAATAAGCAATATTTCATGCATGCAGGGATCGTTGATCTCACTCTCTCCTCTTTTTTTTGCTAACCACTGAGCCACCACGCCGCCGCTAGCAAAATAAACATGGTAAATTCGGATGTCATGCAGACTTCAATGTGGTAGAGGAGAAGATATTTTAACTTTAACTTTTACAATTCATTTATTCAAAGTATTTTGTCCTTTTCCTTTATTTGTTGGTTTTCTTCACCATCCATAAAAAACAAGAATCGTCTTCATCGTCGCAGTTCCCCTGCGAAGTCTTGCACACTGTTACGAACAGCAGGTGTTGAGGATGGCACATAAAATACTAGGAGACAGAACACATCCCTTAAATAAACATGTGGATGCGCCTTTGGTCGACGTCTAAGGACAATAAGATGTTCCACAAACCGTTATAAATTTACTTTTGTGCCTGAAGCAATTAAGTTATGTATTAAATGTAGTTAACCGATGGACTATTAATTGTTTTTTGGATCTGCTGTTAAGTGTTGATGTTTATTGTGTCAAATGTGTCATTCTTATTATACTATATGTGAAGCACCACCGTGTCGAAATGAATTGCCCCAAGGCGATTGATAAAGTTTTAAACTAAAACTTATGGAGACAGATTAGACTCAATAATAATTCACGCAAAAAACACGATGTACACATACGTAGCCAAATTCAATGTAAACAAGCTGCTGTTGTGCTTTAGTAATATAATATGTAGAATATACCCTATTATTCCGTAATAATTATATAAATAATCATTTTAAATGATGCTTATGAGTAAATTTTTGTTTATTAAACTAGAAACTAAAAAAATTACAAAGAAAATATGACAACATAAACTAAGTGTTTATTTGCTTATCACGAGCTGTAATAAACTTATTTATCTCCTTTTCCCAGAAGGAGAAAATCGGGCATAAATCGGGTTAAAACCAATGTAGTCTGAGCTGTAATCTTCATTTGACTGGATTTGATTGACTGAGGCAGCGACTCACAAAGAACTAAAGTGATGTCCAGTTGAACATTCTGATTTGCTGGTGGTCAAGGACATTATAGCCTAATTAAATTAATAAGGCTATTGTGAATGCGGTATGATATGTTAAACTGGTTGACCTTCTTTCAGCATTAGATGCAATGTTTTATTTTGGTAGTGTCGTGTGTTCTGTTAGTTTCAGTTTCGCTTACGTGTGCGTTTGGAATGTCTCATCACTGGTTCTCATTACTGATCTGTATGTGCCACCTACTGGAATGATTTAGCATTTTTATTCAGCAAAGTCTCTATAGACATAAACTTAAAACCTAATTTATTAAAACTGACGCGATTCTCCTCAGCTCAGCTCCTCATGCGGCTGTAAGTTGGAGGGCAGATTGAAATCCTGAGTGGCATCAAACATGTTTGAAATGATCCGAGAGGCTTGATTTGTGTTAAAAAATATTCCGAAAAGTATTAATGTTATATTTATATTTTATATATTCTATTACTAAAGCACAACAGCAGCTTGTTTACATTCATTGGATATAATCAGGGCCGGAGTGGGACTCCTTTTCAGCCCTGGAGTTTTAAGCCTTCGACCGGCCCACCTCAGTTCACGACTGACTATATTAAAATAAGATCATTTCCAAGTCAGTTACTAATTACACTATTCAAGTCTTTTTAAAGAAAACAGCTGCTTAAGAACTTCAAATGTTCAACAACCTTACAGTTTTATATGTCTTAACAATAAAAAAATATATAAATAAATAAAAAATTCAACTCAGGTGAGGATCGAACACGGGTCGGCGGCGTGATAACGCAACATGTTGACCACTAGACCACAGCAGTACAATTCATCATTCTGCAGGCTACATTCTGCTCATGAGGCTGCGAGAAAATAAATAAGAAGAGCGGAGCTGCGGCAAAATAATGGATAAAAAGAGTGAGGCTATGGACAAATAATTAAATAAATGAAAAAAAAAGTGCGACTGCGACTGCTGCTTTCTCCATTCGCCATGCTGGAGAGAAAGAGTCTGGGCAAATGTAGCGCAGAGTTGGTGTCATTGACTACAGCTCTCATCTGATTGGCTGAAAGGTACGAGTTGCCCTGTATCTGGCAGGAGAGTCTCAAAAATACACACACGCGTATCCAGGGGGAGTCGTACATTCAAAACTTTTTGTACACTCTTATACATTTGCAAATCGTGTTTTGCATTTGTAAAACGTATTTTATGAAAATGTATTTTTATTTTGTGCACGTGAAATTTTTTTGTGAATTTAAATAAATATTTTACGCACGTGAATTTAGTTTTATCCACGAGAATTTGGCTACGCATGTGTACATTGTGTCTTTTGCGTGAATTTCTTTTGAGACTAATCTGATTCCATTAAAACTAAACTAAACTAAAACTATCTGCAGTGTTGAAACACAGATTTGTGCACTGACCTCACTGCCATCTGAGAGCGTCGTCCTCTGCGATGCACCTGTCTGTGTTTGATCATGATGTTCCAGGGATTCTATCGATCACAAAAAAATGTAGAAATAACTCAAAGCCTCCATATACATAGAAAAAAAAGCATCAGCCATTCAAGAGTAGGGCATTTTATCAAATGAATGGACCCCTTTGTGCATGAGTAACTATATAGATGTATGACAGCACATACAGTTAAAGTGTGAATTATTAGCCCCGTTAATTTATTTTCCCGTATTTCAGTTTAACAGAGAGACGATTTCTTCAACAAATTTCTAAACATAATAGTTTTAATAACTCATTTCTAATAACTGATTTATTTTATCTTTGTCATGATGACAGTAAATAATATTTGACTGGATATTTTTCAGGACACTTTTATACAGCTTAAAGTGACATTTAAAGGCTTAACTAGGTTAATTAGGTTTAACTAGGCAGTATCTTTTGCAAATCTGTACTGTAGTTTTCATGCGAGTCTGCAGTAAAAGATTTACAAATAAAATGTTCAAATTTATAATATGAACACAAGGTACGCTACATATAGGATGTAAAACGAAAATAAATACTGGCAGCTAACTCCCTGCAACTCTCACACGGTCACCCACTGAAGCTAAGCAGTACCTGGATGGGAGAGCACATGGGAAAGCTGTTGCTGCTGGAAGTTGTGTTAGTGAGGCCAGCAGGGGGCGCTTAACCTTTGGTCTGTGTGGTTCCTAATGCCCTAGTAAAGCGATGGGGACTCTATACTGCTCAGTGAGCGCCGTCTTTCAGATGAGACGTTAAACCGAGGTCCTGACTCTCTGTGGTCATTAAAAATCCCAGGATGTCCTTTAAAAGAGAAGGGGTTTAACCCAAATTTTCCCACTGGCCTGTCCATCATCCCCATATCATAATTGGTTTCATCACTCTGTCTCCTCTCCACCAATCAGCTGGTGTGCGGTCTGGCGCAATATCGCATCATGCAGTTGGATGCTGCACACTGGTGGTGGATGAGATCCCCACCCTATGTGTAAAGTGTTTTGAGTGCCCAGAAAAACGATGCATAAATGTAAGGAATTATTATTATTAAAGTTGCATTAATAAAATGCGTGTGTGTGTCTATATGAAAGAAATACTAAAGTAAATTAAAGTAAACACTATGTTTTTGATCCATACTAAAGTAATTCTGTTTAGGTATTGCAATAGCTGCTATTGAACTATGGTTGTACAACAAATGTAAAGTTTCTACAACTATTTATACTACAATACACCAGTTTACTGTAGTAAAATTGTCCACAAAAAGTATCTACAGTATTTATTACATGGTCACTGTTCACACAGTATTTAATACTACAGTATCATTCATCAGTAGCATTAATAAAAAGAGTGGTAAATACTTTAGTACTGTATAATACACTAGAGCATGATTGAAAACACCATAGTATTTTCCATGTGGGTGTGTGTTGTGGTTTTATGAATGTGATGAAGATGATGATGATGATGACTGGTTTAAAATTTCAAACCAGCTTTATGAACTCAAATATCAAATAGTGAATGATAGTTTCAAGTGTGGCGACGCAGTGGGTAGCGCTCTCGCCTCACAGAAAGAAGGTCGCTGGTTTGAGCCTCGGCTGGGTCAGTTGGCATTTCTGCATGGAGTTTGCATGTTCTCCCGGCGTTCACGTGGGTTTCCTCCGGGTGCTCCGGTTTCCCCCACAAGTCCAAAGACATGCGATGCAGTGGAATTGAATAAGCTAAATCGTCCATAGTGTATGTGTGTGAATGTGAATGTATGGGTGTTTCCCAGTGATGGGTTGCATGTGGAAAGGCATCCGCTGTGTAAAACATATGCTGGATAAGTTGGCGGTTCATTCATAAGAGGTGACCCGATTAATAAAGGGACTTAGCCAAAAAGAAAATGAATGAGTTTCAAGTGTTTTTGCACATCTATACTGCAATATTCATGTGAAGAAGAAAAATATTACATATAAAATATTATATAATCACAACAATGTAACGCTAACTTACACTATATATATGATGTACAAACAAAAATACTACAGTATGCTGTGGCATTCATTAACAGAGCTGTACATACTATAATAAGCACAGTATAGTAGACTAATGTCGTAGCAAATATTGTGAACTGATAAAGCGTAATAGCTGCTTTTTAATTTTACTACAGTAAACTTTGGTATATTGTAGTATAAATAGTTGTAGTATTAACTTTTGTTATATTATCATAGCAACTATATAATAACCACAACAGAAGTACTTTATCATTGTTTAAAAACATGTAGTATTTACTATAGATTATTTTGTTTTCTATATATATATAGTAAAATGCCGTAAACGGTAGTCGTAGTAAAATAAAATATCATGTTATCCAATATATCATATTATTATTCATTTAAAACATCAAATATTAATAGATCAGAATCTATTCTTCTTCATT